TTTTCCAAAATTTCTGTCTTTTTGAGAACCATCCAACCATGTAAACAGACGGAATCTATATATAGAAAATGCCTCAAAGTCTGCTGCAATTATTTACTAATGAATTTTAAAAATTGTATGAATTGTTTTAATTTTAATTTAAAAAGTAAGGTCTAAGCTAACTAATTTCTAAATACCTAAATATTAGCTTTAGTTTCAGGTACAACAAAAAAATGTATTTTTTAAAATTTATAAAAATTTTTTTTTTTTATTTATATCAAGAATATGGCTTATTAATATATATATAAGCCACTTGTGCACATGTAACAAATGCTATATAAAAAATATCCGGAAAATATAATTTGAAAAATGTCCTTAAGAGATACTATCACATATTTTTTTGTAAGTTGATAGCGCTATACTGTGTTACCAAGTGAGATTTAGGCACAATTTTTTACGATGGGTGCTCAAATCAGCTGTTTTTAAATTAATATACTTTTGAGTGTTCTGCGATAGCATCAAGTCTACAAAAGTTTTTAGTAAAAGCTCAACGAGTATGTGCGTGCGTAACTTTTTTTATTCCCAACACTAAAACTATCACTACATGGAAGGAGCGTCTTTTATAACATGAAAATTAAATTCCCTATAGAGAAACTTCCGGTTTAAAAGATCACGTTAAACGCTGGCATAGTTAAATTGTAATTGATGAGTTCCTCTTAAATTAAATTAAATTCCCTATAGAGAAACTTCCAGTTTAAAAGATCACGTTAAACGCTGGCATAGTTAAATTGTAATTGATGAGATCCTCTTTGGAGGCGACAAAATAAGCTTTGATTCTTGAATTAAGTTTCCATTATGTGTTTCTGGATTACAATTTCGTAATAAGACAGAATAAATCATGATCACCCTTGATATGAAAACTAGCTTAAAGCCAAAAAGAATAGATGTACTTCTAAATTAAACTCTCTAAATTATTTATATTCTATAATGACACAATAGGTACAAAAAAAACAATAAAAATAGATCGCAAGTTTTTGATTTTTTTTGAATTAGTATATTCTTCATTAAACATACTATGTTCATATTGAAATAATATGTTAATACTTTTTAGTTAGAAATGAAACGATCCATTATCGCAGAACTAAAAGAACAAGTGAGTAAAAAATCATTGAAGATAGTTTGCGTACATGTCTTAAAGACTTGATGCGCCCAAGTCTTTCATAGCGTTCGCGATGAACCCTTTCATGCCCATTGTTGCCTATAGACAATATTATACATTTCGACTTATAAGTCCAGCTGTTTTAATTATTTTTGCGAACAACTTTTTTTTTAAATGATAGTTTAGTATATAGGTATATGTATATGTTGTGAAAACAAAAAACTGGAAACACATAATAAGAAAAGTGGGGAAAGTATTTTCTGAATTTTTGTTTTATTCTGACCATTAATTTTTAAATATATTATTCTTATCACATATGCCATTCAACATAAATAAAATATAATATAATTATAATTACAGAAGTATAATGATTTTCGCTTAATTTCTACCAAGTTGCGATTTTATTTTATTTTCATTTTTTTAAATTCGGTAATTAACTTTATAATTGCCAGATCGGTTTGGATAATCAATTTTGAAAAGAAACTTTATATACGATCTAAATCTTAGAATTTGTTAGTAATAACTGCAATATGAACTAGGTGTTAAGGCACCATATCTATTTAGATTAGATTAGAAGATAAGGGTATACGAGACCTTCTGTAACTATTCTATAAAAATTATCTTTAAAATCAATGTCTGGCTACTCCTCTCATGTCTAGTGGTCTTGCGCTATTAGCACTTCCTATAATCAAGCAGAAATAGTCCACGGCAGAAATAACCCAGCAACATATCAACATATATATATAGTTATATATATATATATATAGTTATATATACATTGTGACCGAAAAGTTTTCGGAAATTCTCATTTAAAATTCGCGCGCTGTATATTTTTCGATATTTTAAGTTTATGTAGTTTGGCAGCACTGTCCTTAATTACTATGCCAAAAATGAGCGCGATCTGTCAGACAGTTCGTTTACGGCAGCTGTTGAAACCAGTTCACCTCAGTAGTGCGTTGCGAAAAAAACAATGGAAAAAAATATTGAACAAAGAGTTTGCATCAAATTTTGTTTTTCGAACGAAATTTCGTGTGCAGAATCGTTGCGAATGCTACAAAAGGCTTATGGGGAATCAGTTTTATCGAAAACTCAAGTTTATGAGTGGTACAAAGCCTTTCAGGACTGTCGTACGACCGTCGAAGACATGCCGCGTTCTGGACGACCTTCGACCTCTACCACCGACGAAAACATTGAAAAGGCAAAGGAAATCGTGTTCAAAAATCCTCATGTGAGTGTTAGAGAGATAGCACGAGAGCTAGGCATCGGTCGTGAGATGGCTCGTTTGATTTTGGTGGACAATTTGTGTATGCGACGTGTCAACGCCCGGCTTGTTCCGATTCACCTCAATTTGTTCAACATTATCAACGATTTTAAGGCCAAACATTCAATAAATACCATCGAACAGCCACCGTATTCACCTGATCTTGCACCGTGTGACTTTTTCCTGTTTCCCAACCTCAAATTACCACTCAGAGGAACGCGTTTTGAATCCATAGAAGACGTAAAACAGAATTCGCAGAGGGAACTCAAAGCCATACCGGAAAGCGCCTATAAAAAATGTTTTGATGATTGGAAGAAACGTTGGCATTTGTGTATCGCTTCTAATGGAGCATATTTTGAAGGAGATAAAATAAATATTGATGAAGATTAAGAATTTTGCGTTTTATTTAAAATTTCCCGAAAACTTTTCGGTCACAATGTATAAATATTTATGTATATAAATATATGAATATAAAATATAAATATATATAAATATTTAATATATAAAAATATATAAATAATATAATAATAATATATATTATATATAATATAAATATGTAATATAAAATTTAAATAAATTCGAAGTTAGTATGTATTTAAATTCGTTCCTACTATATGTATATATATATATGGTTTAAATGAGCATATGTTTTATATATTATATTATGTTATATTTATTATTTCTTCGCCAGCACGTATATGCTTCTATATTTTTAGTAGTACATCGCCGGTTAATTTCTTAGATCAGTTCTGTACATATGTGATTCTTCAATTTTTCTTAGGTACGGAATTAAATGACGGATCACTAAATACACAACAGATATCAGTTCATACGGTGTGAGGGTGTGAAGGGAAAACAATATATTATAAGGGAATCAAAAATTAGTTTGTTGAGATATTTTCCAGATCCTAGAGTTAGTAGAGAACAAGCTATATAACAATTTTTTTTTAAGATTGAGAGAAGGTTATATGCTACTTGAGCTAATCTATTTGTTTAGTTGGCAATGCATTGATGACGTTTTTATTTTAAATGTCCTAGTTAATAAAACATCAATACCAGTAAATAATAAAGAATAATAACAGGTTTTCCTTGGTTGTTTGCTTTACCAAGTGACGGATCAGTAACTTGTCAGCGAACCATATTTTAAAGTGTATGAGTATGAATGCGGAATCAACTACCGGACGCGAATTAAAAATGATTCTCCATGTCCCAGGGACTAAAAAACATATTCAAACCTAAATCTTTTAAAATTGAATGTCACTTGATAAATACGTTAATGTATTGAAATAATACGCTACTTAATCAAGATTAAGATAGTTGAAGTAACTATTTTAAACACTAGAGTTACTAAAACTGCTGATTTCATGTACAATCTAACAACATAACAAACCAATATATAATATATTCTTATGTATATTGAATGGCTTTGAACATGTATGGTTTTAAGTCCTTTCTCAGGTGCATGCTCAACAATAGATCAATAAACTTTGCAGTGTGAAGGTCAGTTAAGATATGATTTGCAACTACGTTGATTTATACTGTCTGTTATAATTTTTTTTTTTAGTATACTGTGTTATAGCATATAGTATAGTTTAATATCTTTAATAAAATTACAGCACTTAACTTTTTTTAATTTCATATATATATTTGTATTTATATATATTATATATAATGTATAATAAATATTATTTTATATATGTTATATTATGCATATCATATTATATTACTTATATTATATTATATATATATATATATATATATATATATAAGTACACTGATATTTATATATTTTTTTTTTTTATATACATTTATAATTAAAATTCTCGAGATAATATTTTGTATATTTAAAATAGCATTTTTTTCTGAGAAATATAAGTGTATATTTAAAAGTTAATACTTTTTCGTATATTAATATGCATTCTTTTTTGATACATCGATTATAGAAGAATTCTTAACTTTGAGAACCCATAGCATTAAATCGATCTATCCACGAAAATATTTCAATCAATTTTTGCTTTTGACAAGCCTTTTAAATTAGATAGCTTAGATATTAGATAGTCAATAGTTAAAAAATTTTACTTAATTGTGTTCAAATTCGTTGAAGGCAATTCTTTAAACATTTCATCAAATAACGTTTTTAGATGATCGCAATAAATGATTATTGAGATTTTATTAAAAAAATAGTAAATATTGGTCTTCTAAGTGGTGTATGTGAAAGAAAGGAAAAAGAATATTGGAAGCATGTCGACCATTGATTAGCAAGTTTCAACGAAAGCACACCAACAACAACAACAACAATTAGTGTAAAACGAAAGACCTAATAAATAGAGTAGCATCAACATTTACCTAGAATCTAGGTTAAAAAAATTATGAACAAAATGGAAGATGGCCCGAAATGAAGATCAATTCATTTGCTTACTTAAAAATAAAACATTTGCATTGCAGCGGTTTCAGTTGAAATTTGTATTCGAACCGTGGAACGTACCTCAACGCGTTGTTGGAAGCATAAAAATGACTTTATTGGCTTAGACCAAGAAACGGGAACGCGGCAAAGAGCGAAAGTGTGATCCTATATAACAGTTTATATAATATTTATATACCTATTTATATGTTCATGTACAAAACAAGATTCTGACATACATATATACAAATAAAAAATTTATGAATAATTTTAAATCCAACTGAACAAAAGGATATTGAACATTAATCAGAAAAATAAATTGACAACTATTTAAATACTGAAATACTGAAATTGTTATACATTAAAGTACAAAAATGTACAAGGGATCTACAAAATTAGTGTTCCATTTGTGCCTAATTTTTACTTGTATACATCAGATAAAAACATATTCTCAAGTGTTAAGTAGTAGCAGCTACAACAATGAAGGCCCCAAGATCTACAAGGCGCTGAATATGGATTTAGTATTCCCAAAAACGTAAGTACGCAACTATCATCAAATTCTTAGCTTCACACATCAAACAATGGAGGTATTTTCACATTATAGGTAAATCTCTCACACAACCACAAAGCCCAGTTGTATTCCTAAAAGAGTGTACGACATTTTTAAAGACAACGTTTCAAAATCAGACCTTTCTTTAGGTTTTAAATAAATTATCTTTAAATATACCTATAAATTTCTATAAATATTGAAAACATTTGTGTAAAGGATTTCTGCAAAAAAATGTAAACCTTAACGGATACTCTATTTGTTTATTCACCAACTCTTACACTCCCATATTTTATTTATATTTTTACGTATTTGATTAATATTGTTATATATAATATATTAAATAATAAATAAATACAATATAAATAATATATGTTAATTGTTAATAGCAATCACGTTGGGTTTTAATAATTTTTATAGAAAATATATCAGCTAAGTTGTGCACTGACTGCATGCCTAAACGAAGTGCAGAATTTTATTCGTTAATTTAATAAATAAAGTTGAATATTAGTTTATTAGTTTTTATTACAGGCTGTCTACAGAAATTTTTAAGCATAACGAGATATTTATTGATTTCTTCGATAATACGCCACAATTTTTTTATTATAATTGTGCAATTCTTATTATTTTTAATGTTCATTTTTTTTTGTCGAAAGTGACGCGTCTTATAACGAAAAGAAACTATTTAAAAGTTGAAAGGATTCGCATAGAAATGAAAAGACAACAACAAAAATTTTAGTGAATTTACTAAAGATTGGTAAATTAACTAAATTTGCTTTTAGTTTCTGTTTTGATTTTTTTAAGTGCTGTGAACTAGCACTCTGACTTTTAATTATTTAAATATACACATATGATCGAGCATTATTACTCAATCGAGCATTAAATGCTTTCACAGATCAAGTGAAAGAGCTTACTTTGTACAATAATTGATATGAACTCAATGTAATAGCACAGTTCAATCACCAAATAACATTAATGAACTACCTTATTAGTTTAGTAAAGTGAAGTTAACTATTTATTTATTATTTTATATATACATATATTTTGAGTATCAAGAAAATTTATTTTTAAAATATTGGGAGCAATAATAACTTAAATAACTTAAAGTCTATTAATGCCTAATATCTATACAGTTTATGTTTTTAATATCAGAACCATTTTTATAACAGTATTCGTGTGTCTTCAGGTTTAAAATCATAACAATGAATAATCCTTTTTCTGCTGCCTTTAGAAACCGTAGATTTACTTGTTTGCCCATGCGATGGTTCTGAGAGACCACTGAAATTTATTTTTTTTTAAAACTTATCTATAAAAAATACATTGGTTGTTTGATAAACACCAAAATATTTTTTGTGAATGTTTTCGCAGTAAATTTATATCTTAAAACATATCTATAACAAGATAAATATAATAAACCTGCCAAATATATAGTGTTTGGTTGCAAAGTGATTTATCTTCGGAAAGTAAATTCTTGATTCGAAAAATAGAAAGAATCATATTAATATTTACGGAGATATTTACAGGTTGAAACACCGAAAATATAACTTGAAAAAAACATGGCGTAATATAAAATTCTATATACCTATTAAACACAAATCATAATGATTTAAAATTGGATTTTTCGAAGAATATTCGAAGTTTTTACAGAAAATCTATCTTCTCATAATTTTTGTGGAATTCTTTTAATTTTTTATATTCTAAAACTTGAATAGTTTACGAATATTTTTGCTAAAGAATATTCCTTCCATCATGCACTCTTTTCTTGTAATTGTCCCCCAAATCGAGATTCCTATTGCTTTAAAAATGTTTATTGGACTTAAATTTGATCTACGACTGAAGTTATTTGAATGAATCGTTTTTAAGATATAGTTACTTATAGTACGGCATATTTTTCTGCTACAGTGTCTTTTAAGACCCGACATATTTAATTCTTTATGAAGGAAGGCTTGTTTTGTATAGGTACAGCCTGTACTAATTACGGTTAATAGTAATCTTTTTCTATAGTTTCTACACGGCAAAGATATTTTTTCGATTTTATGATTAATGGTTCAGAATGTAATCCTGCTACTACCAATTATCTTTTATGTCAAAAATATATTTTGTAATTTTTTTATTGGTCTAGGTTACTAGGTAACGTTTTAATATACCCTCCCCTGCCAAATAGAACAACCCCTCTATTGTTCTATTCTCTTGAAGAAAAGTGGAGTTTAGAAAGTAAATACTAAACCCCTCTTTATACCAGAAACACTTTCGTTATTCTATTTGTTATTTTTCCAATTTTTTAGCAATTAAACAAATTTCATTTTTTAAGCTAATAAGAAATATCTCTGAGTAACCAAGTTTTTACAAGTACATAGACTTTCATATTGAATAACTCCTTAATAACAAAGCCTATTCTGACGATCAGTACAAGCGAATTGTAAATACCAGAATTACTTTAGATGGTAATTATTAGTTCAAAAAAAAAAGCGCATAAACACCTATTTTTAACAGTAACCAACATTCATAAGCGTTTAGCTGATCTTGACGATCTGTAGAAGCTTATTATAGATTAACATCAGAGGATGATTACTCAGTTCAAGAACAAAAACTCACATGAACGCCTATTTCCAACGTTGACGGAGATGCATAGTGTTAAAGGAAATATTATTCAAAAAATAAAAAACTCTAGACAAAAAACGTAATATTAATATCAATAATCAAAATCATATGTCATATAAATGATAGCTCATTTTGTGTATATAAATTTATTAACTGCTCATCATTTTTGGTTTCCGGGATTCATTTACACCATGTTACGCAGGCAATCAAATGCTCGCCGGTCACATTTGCCGTCAACTCCTTAACTTTAATCAAAAATAACAACAAATGTACCGACCGTCGGTCGAACTTGGGTTCTTGCAAGATAAATACCTATAGAAGTACTGATCTCACCTATATACCACAGAAACTAAACTTGTTTTTAGCTGAAAAGCATAATGTCGACAATGGTTTTTCAAATAAAATATATTTAGGCTACATCCCCCACAACTCATGCTCACATATAGTACTTATAGGCCTAGAGTTTACTGCACTGATATATCATACACTCCGTTTCTAATGAACACAAATACAATAATAGTATTAACATAATAATTAAGGAACTTAATTAAATTAACATAATAACATGATACATAGAACGATCATTGCCATGTCCATATGTCGGCAAACTGTTTTCAGTATTGATGCCACATTATGAGAAAATATCATTAGTATTCTATTTCATCTTATCCACTAACAAAATTTTTTTTGCAGATTTAATTCAAGCGAGAATGTCATTTCTACAACATCAGAGAGAGCTCCACTAAATGCTACCCAACAATCTTTAAAAGTAGATGCTCAGCCTAATAAATTTGATATTTTTGTAACTCCTGCGAATAATATTTCAACAAATGAAGCAGATTCTAAAAACTCAGAGGAACTAACAAATAATAGCAATGCTGAGACTCTGGAGGAGAATGCATCCACAGGACGTGCTGTAGATTATAGACCTTCATATCATCAACTATTATCACCAATTATAAAAAATGCTCCTCGGCCTGTGCACAATGAAAGAAACTACATGCATCGTCCAGCACAATCATCACTTGGCAAGATTGTCTATCCACAAGGCAATCAGCCACAACCATTTCATCGTCATAGGGTCAGTCAAGCAGAAATCCAGAAATTAGGTGGACAATGTAAGGAATTTAATTTCTTATGAATTTTTTATTAGCTATATATGAAGCAGTACTATTATTTATTTATATTTTATTTTGGAATGCATTTAGCCCAATTTTCTGATCGGTTTACACCAAGTGAAGCTGTAGCATCTGCACATTTTAGTAGTAATAGTAAAAATGTCAAACATTCAAGCAACAGTCAAGGAAATGGAGCTAAAACACCTTCAGCCACTAACATAGTATCATCCTATGTACCACCAAAAGAACTGTACTCTTTTCCACCAAATAGTAATGCAAAATACCCATCGCCATCAGAAGATCCGAAAGCAGCAATACCTTCTGGTACAATAAGCAGCTATTTGCCACCGCCATCTGGACCATTATGGAATGCAGCTGGCTACCCACATTCAGCATCAAACGGCAATAGCAACGGTTATAAATACAATGCACCAGCGAGTAGCAATGGCAATGGTTATAAATACAATGGACCAGTAAATCCCGAATATTTGCCTCCCATCGATGGTAATGACGGAAAAGATCAAACAAAGAATGAAATGGGTGGCGATGATGATGTTGGTGATGATAGTATTGGAGTTTTACCTGCAAGCGCAATGGATGGTCCCAACAATGATGATAGTAAAAATGCTCCACCAGTACCTGTAGACAATAATATGACCGACAACTCCGAAAATGGTAATTTACGCGAAATTATTGGTGCAATATTTTTATAATTTAATATGCCAAAATTAAATTTTAGATCACCATCACGATGATCATAGTCACGATCATGATCATAACCACGACTATCATTACGATCATGATGCTGATCACGACCACCCTCACGACCATGTTCCTGATCACGACCATCATCACGATCATGTTCCTGATCACGACCATCACCACGATCACCCAATTTCTGGTTACGATACAGATAAGGAATATCCAACACCACCTCCAGGTCATAAAAACAAATGAATACAATTTTCTCTTTTCTGCTATCTGAAAATATATATAATTGTAAAATATATATAATTGTAAAATATATATAATTGTAAAATATATATAATTGTAAAATATATATAATTGTATATATTATATATAATTGTAAAAATATTTTTCTGCTTGCTCTTATACATATAACTAAAATGACTTCTTAAAAAAAATTTTTTTTTATAAAATTTGTCTTATTAGGTTGGTTAGAAGAGCATCCGGAGTCGGCACAAAGCGCGCCAAGTTCTGATAATTCCGATTCACCACCGCCAGATGATAGTCCCCCGGCACCGAAGGATGAACATGACCATCATTCTTTTGATTTTCCCGAACACGATTTTCCATCATTTCCTGCATATCATCATTATCCAGAAATTATATACGATGATCATTTTCATCATCACCATCATATTGAACCACCTCCACCACCGCCTGCATTACCACAAGTAACAACGGAAGCACCTCCACCAGAGCCACCACCAGAACCTCGTGTGAAAAAATATTCATATTTCTATATTGGCAGGAAACTCTGGTACATTCCATTATACTTCACAGTTTGGTTCTCCTTCTATGTTTTATGGCTCATATTAAAATCCATAGCTCGTCATAAGGTAAGTACTATAATCTAGATATCCAACCACTTATTTATTTTTTATAATTTCTTTTGTATTATATTTTAGGTAAATTTACCGAACCACTATGTGGCACGAAGAAGTATTAATGACTATAACAGCGTCAAACCACAGGAATATATAAATCTTTTAGCCGTTTCTGTACTAGATAAAATTGAAGAGTTCAAACGAAAATACAAGACAATATAATAAACACTTCTATTAAAATTTATATACGAAGTTTTAATTTAAATAGTTTTATTAGTTGGAATAATATGATTTTTTCACGATGGATGGAATATCTTTCATGTTGTGTAAGAAATTTGGATTGCCATTTTTGTAAAGAAATGCGTTATGATTCTAACCTGGGATCTAGACCATTTTTACTAGAACCAACCCTCACCATTCTTAAACTAATTGTTCTACTATTTGGCTTATATAAATTTAAATGATTATTAGAATAGAATAAGAGGAGGATTTTAGCTACTAATTCTTCACAGGTTGGATTCTTACTCACAATTCATTCTTTAGAGTTGATGTTAATAAGTAAATACACTTCTTCGGGAAAAGTACCATATATGTCACACGGTACCAAATCAAGTGAATACGAGATGAAAGAGGTCTTACAGTGTTATCTTTTAAGATAAGGTAATTCCAATTTTATAAATTTTAAAGAAGATTTCGGCAGATCTTTAATGAATAGACGCCCAGTTAGAATGGAATCTACGGTGATCATAGATTTTATTTAGACAACATTTTGCAACACATTAGTTGTACCTGTGAATAGTAAAAGAATTTAAAATATTGGATAAGAAATTATGTTGTGCAATCCGTTTTTATATATGACCTAATTGCAATGTACAAAGATATTTATGCTTTATTTTTCTTTGATTCTATATTAATATAATGAAAGTTATTTGAACGAAGAACAACGGGACTAGTAATTCTGCACGATTAAGAGAACTGCCTGAATCCAAGAATGCATTTTGTATGAGAAATAACAATTAGAGACTAGCAACATTACAGGGTTAGCAGAAATTTTCGTTTGTCAGATCGTTCATTTAAGAGAGCTTTCATTGGGTTAGTGAAGTATTAAATATTTAATTTACACATGATAAATTACACTTAACTAGAACTTTACTCTATTATGTTATATATACTCTATTATATATACTCTATTATACTTTACCTCTATTATTTCAAAAAATTCTTTTCTTAGATAATTCAGTTTATTTATTTGGTATATTTTAAATATATGCTTTGGGTATATAAATAAAAGTTTTTAATTATGAACAAATAATTACAATTAAATTAAGGCAATTAAATATAATGAAATAGAAATGTTCCAGTATTCCAAAATATAAATTTTAGAAACTAAATTTAACACAATTGTCGTGCAAAATAAACAAAACTATAACTCCTTTTAATGGACTTAATAGATGATATGATTACGCTCTTAGCTGAGCAATAATTGTTTTCCATCTTTTTTAGTTTAGTTAAAAAATATAAAAATTAACTAATTTTTATAGAACTATAATAACAAATAAAATAAGAATCTTAATATTCTATTACTTCATAAACAACTGTTTCACTATCACTGTCTTCTACGACTTTGATCTCTGACGAATTACTTTGTTTTTGATCAGTATTATACCTTACAACTTTTGATATATTGGCCAAAGTTTCTGCGGTTTCAGTCAATTGAGCTTCTTCAGCTTCTAAAGCCAACTGCTTTTCGCGCTCTTCGGCTGCAATTAATAATTGACGCACCTTCACTGGTAGCCCGCCACTCGAACGATTTACACTGCGTGGATTATTAAGCATTTTTGGACTAAAAAAAATGTATAATTAGATAAACAGAGATAGCCGCTAAAAATTAATTGTAATTATAAATTAATATCATTTAAAGTACTGATATTGTTATATACGATTTCTTAAATGTGTTTAGAATATACTCCGAGCAGCAAATTAATTGCTATTCAAAAGCAAATCTATAATTGCTTATTAATAATACAACAATTTTTGCTAATATTATTATTAATAATTGATTATTGAGAATAAAATCAATAAGTGATAAGTTATTAATAAAAAATTGTATTGAAAATAAGAAACTCAAATTGAGTAGACATAATTTTGAAGAAACTAGAACAAAATTCATACAGATAGTCTATTATTGACAATACATATATTGTTTTTCCAACTTCTAAACAAAACCTACTTTGTTCCCTGAAAATTATAAATGTGAAATATATAACTATTTATGGCAGTTATTCTGTGTTACCGTTGTAAGATAGTCAATTATAATTTCAATAATTTTTCGATTTGATTTGCTTGGACTCAGAAAAAGTTCTAATGCAAAAATTTATTCCAACTAAAACTAAAAACTGAAATCAATTATTCCACAAATAAATAGACAGATGGACAGACAACCAGATTGTAAAACAAATAAATATATTGAATAACAGACAAACCCTTATATTAACAACTTGTCACACATATCATATTTGCCACATTCACGTTTTAGGTGAAAAGGCTTAATTGACTTTATCAACTAAAGAAGTTGCTTTATACAAATATCAAAGAACGTATATGCAGCTGACATAGTCTTCCTTCCAATTCATTTAAAATATAGTTTCTTAATAAACATTTAATAAACTTGAGTCTAAATCGATCTTTGGACCCGCCATATTGAAGTGATTAAATTTGTTCTTCTTCATCCAAGTTGACTTTAATTTCTATCCCATCCATACCGAATCCATTCTTACTCCTAAGGAATTCCTATATCTCTCACACTATTATTACACTATCATCTATATCCTAACCCATATATACAAGGAGATCTTTTGAAAAGACGAATGGCTCTCGGAAGTATACCCGATCACTTTAAAATTCATGAAACGACTGTAGTAAACGCTAAACTAAATATAACTCTTCACAATTGTATGAAGTATATAAAAAACTTTTTATAGATATTTCCTTACCATGATCGTAACTCGTCAATGTTTGGAACTGTAACGATTTTCTTTTGCACACCTTTTGCTTCTTGTTCAGCTAATTCAACAGGATGTGTTTTTTTTGTATGTGAACGACAATTTGAGCCGTTCGAAAACGTTAATTGGCAAAAGTCACATTTATAGGGTCTTAAGCCAGTATGTAAAATAAGGTGATTCTTTAAAGCTTTACTTCTTTTAAAAGATGCTTGGCAAAAATCACATTTGAACTGTCTTTCATCAGAATGTACCAACATATGCATTTTAAGTGTTCTCCGGGTATTTAGATTCATGCCGCAGACCGTACATGTATAAATGCAGGCAGTATGTATATCTGCATGCAACTGAAAAAATTTTAATCGTTGTTAGTCTGTGGAATTATTTTTCGTCAGATATATTTACCTTTAAGCGTGCCTTGTTTTTGAATCTCTTATGACATACATCGCACTCAAAGGGACAATCACTAGTGTGAACAAATTTATGTTCATTTAAAGCTGCTCGTGTTTTCAAACGCTTACCACAAATGTCACAAATGAATGGAGTATGATTTGAGTGAACGCAAGCGACATGTTGTTTCAATACGGCAGCTGTTGAAAATTTCTTTGGACAATGCGGACACGGTGTTCTCATTTTCTCCTCAGGTGGCAAATGTGTTCGTATGTGAGTATTTAATTGCCTTACCGTAATAAAAACTTTGTTGCATTGAGAACATATAAATTCTGGAATGTCTGGTTCTACATCGTGTATGACCATCATATGTTTGCGGTAAGATGTAGGATTTTTATATATTCGATTACAGTGTTTGCAAGTAAACCTTAAATCCTCATCGTATATACTTAAATGCGACTCAGTAACAGATTGTGAAAACGATTCACTCTTCGTGTCATCGTTTTGTTGTTGCGATAAATAGTCAATATCTGCGTCATCATGATCTTCATCAATTGAAATATGACTATTTTTAGTATCTACTTCAGCATCGTGTTCAGTATAAAATTCTGTTTCCGCTTCAGTATCCAACTCAGTGTCACCATCATCTTCAACCTCTTTATTATCAATAATGTCATCATCATTTTCATCAGCTTCAACTTTGTAATCACCTTCACTGTATATCTCAAAACTATCAACTTCCATATCGTTAACTTCTTCTATAACAGCTGCACTAGATTTTTTGTCAATGTCTGTTGTAGCAGTTCTTGCAGTTTTCCGATGTTCTTGTTCTCTATCCAAACTAGAGACTAACCGTGTACGGCTATGCTTTAAGTCGTCTTGATTAGAATATTCTATGTATGTATATTTTTCTTCTAACATAGCTTTCTCATCAGTAGCTTCTTCTGATTCTTCGATTTCGTAATAAATTTTTCCTATTTCATCGGAATCATTTTCTGTTGAACCAATTAAGCTGTCATTCAACACTTCCTCTTTAAATATAAATCGACGTTCATTATCTATTAGTCCATATTGTGTACGCGCTTTTATAAGCATACTCCTTTCATTAGTATTCAAGTTTTGCAAAACAGAGTACATGGATTGTACCTTGTTTACTCTATCAGTGAAAGATATTAATGACGATATTAGGCCATAGCATTCATGACATAAAGTTTTCGGCAAGTCATCGCAACGCTTGATCTACAAAAAAAAAAAAAATGAATTAGTAAAATTGTCACTTTTATATGGAATATCACGCACATTCACCCAAAAATATTTTCCAATTGCGGTAGCAATATTCGTATCCACTCCATCTAACTCTTTGCAAGAAAAAACACTGCAATTGTTGGAATCCTGTTTAGCGCATAGACGACACCACCGGTGCCAATCTAGTTCAACAACATTCCTTTCGTTCTGTTCCCGCTCCATATTACCATTAATCTTAAAGAGTTAAAAATGTATTTTATTTTTGATGATTTGCGTATATACAGAAAAGGAGTAAATTCAATATAATTGAAACCAAACAAAACACGAATAAATGAAGTTATATTATAACAAAATTTACGTATTTACCCTTAACTAATAAATGACACACAATTTAATTGCGAAGTTTAAAACAAATTCCGTGAAATTAATTTTAAACAACATATAATGCCTTTCAACAAAATATGGAAGCGTATTCACCCAGCAAACAAGTGACAGGGTTGCATTTTCTAAAATATCAAAAATAATATATTTCTATATATATAACACAAGACTTTAGGCCGTGTACGAGTTTAAATAAATTGAGGTAAAGTAAATTGAAATTTCCTACGAATTTTTTGAACTGCACTTATGTAAATATTTATTTATTGCATTTATTAATTATTTTTGGTTAAAAATTTTCAAATTTATTTATTTATTCATATATTTAGTAAACATCTTATAAAATTTTCACAACGATAACACCTAATTTTGCTAATTTTTATCTTATTTATCTTACTTAAATTCTCGTAAATACCAACATTCGCTGCCTTACCGACATAATTTACTATTTTCTTCAATTTACCATATATGATAATAAAATTATTTAAAAGAGTTTAATTAAATTGTTTAAGTATTTGCTTATATATCTACAAATATTTTTGGCACTTTTGAATATAAATAATGTTATAACTAAAGGTGCTTATAAATTTATTTATAAATTTGGAATAATTAAACTGTTAACTAAACAAAACTATTCGAAATAATAACATTTAAATGCTACATATAAAAAGTCTTTAATCATCTTATCTTATCTAAATTTGACACTGACAGTTCAATGTATTTTATATTGAAAGCAACAGCAAAATTGAAAATGATCGAAATTCGACATAAATGACACAAAAAATAAAATGTAAACATAAACAAAAAAACAAACAAAAATGTAAACACAAATTAACAAGAATTTTTTAAAATATTTCTTTTTTATAAATAAAATATACAATAAATGTATATAAATAAAATATATCATATATTATTTAACAAAAATTTTATATTCAGTTGGATATCAGGACAGATTATAGATAAAAGCTTACACGTTTGTATGGTGCATCTATAATGGTTGTAATTCAATAAAATAAAATATTATTAATATTAGGAAAAAACAAAAGAATTGGGAATATGTAGACTGAGGACGGTGAGCAGTTGTTTATACTGGCCACATTATGCATTAAATTATTTAAATTTTCTGCGTTTTTCATGCTAATTTATTTTACTCTAACAACACAAAATGTAATGTCAGCTGTTTGCAATTAAAATGTAAACAGAAATGCTCTACAACTAGAAATTTTTAACACATAAAAGTTCTTTCCCATTCCTTAAGTAACTTGTGCTAATGTAAACGACAAAAAGCTCACTGTTACTAAAGGTACTTTCGGTGGCTTGTAAGTATGGCAAAAAAACAACAAATTGCTGGCCTATTCTGGCCGAACTATACGTAAAACAACATTACTGGCCAAGCACATCGGACAGTAAAAAAATATGTGTTACTAACGCAATAAGCGAACTATTGTGAACCTTCGTTGGAAACTTCAACGAATATTGCAATCACATGTCAAAAATTATATGTAAATAAAATTTCAAAAACTTCATAAATTTTAATATTGGAAAAAAGGAACAATTTTGGTGTTTTATTTTGAAATTTTCAACATTTTTACCATTCCTTTTAATTTTTGTTAATTAGTTATTTTCATATGCAATCTAATTTGCTTGCATTATGCTATTTCTGTTATTTATCAAAACATACCACTTAACAGATCGCAACAGTGAAGTCAATGCCTTGCGAAGCCAATATAGGCCAGAATTCTTTTTTTGCCACACTTGTGAGCTACCCAAAAGACCTTAAGCAACTATCTAAATAAGCAGTGGAAACGTAATATTACGAATTTTGAAATTGTGAATATAATTATTTTAAAAATATGCAAAGGTTTTGTAGAATATATAAAGAAAAAAAAAGTAAAAAACACATTAAATTTTTTAACTTGTTAGACGCTAACAAGTTTATATATATTAAACCATAAATGTTTTTAACTAAAATTAATTTTATTGTAAAAAGAATTTTCAAAATTTGATAAACTATTACCATTGATTTTAATTCCGTATTCATTTTTAGTTCAGTAAAATAGATTTAAATTTAAACAAAATTAATGTCGCCTTAGGTTTTGTGCACATACGAAAGACTTGTCAATTGTGAAAACATATATCAACATATAATATAAATAGTATATACATATATGCAGCTCTTAAAAATAAATTTTCCTCAAGTAAAATTACAAAAAATTTGAAATATATGTGATATATTTTATATGTAAAATGTAAACAAACAAACTATTTTATATGCATAAATCAGCTTACGCTAATGGAAACGACCAAATCAATTGAAATTTAATTAATATAAGTAGGGGAAACGTTAAATTAGTTTTTTAAGTCAAATAAATTTTTACTTTTTATAATGATTATTCGATATTTAAAATTGTACTGTAAATTTCCCTTTCATAATTTCCTTTCTGTTTCTGTGTATGCGGGTAACTCTGATGTGTCAAGTTTGTCATACTACAATGTAGCAAGCGGGTTTGCTTTCTGAAATTTGCCGTTTTGTTGTGCAGTCCACAGGAAATGTTTGGAATTAGTTATTTTAGCTTCGAAAAATAGTGGAAAAGGATAAATTTTGCATTGAAACAGATAAATATAATTTGCTGGCTCAATGCTTATAAATTTACTACATCACATCCACCATATTGCAGCTGATTGTTAAAACAACCAACAACAAATTCGTTCATAAGTTTGGCACTTAATTTTTGTACAAAAAAAAACAATGCATACAATGGAAAAAAATTCATTAACTGTTGATTGTAGTAGCAACGGAAATATTAGTGTAGACTGGCACGTGTGGTGCCGCCTGTGTGCCAAGGAGGACACGCAGGGTAATGTTAACGTATTCTTTAAGGATGAGATTCAAAGTGGTACATGTTCTATGACAGCAGACGCCAAAGACAGCGAAGCTCCTCCAGGCAACAATGTTTTAAACTTAGTCGCAGCAATAAAGAAATTTTTGTGGGTAGATGTGAGTATTGAGTATTATATAAAATTTTATTAGTCACTTTTAATGTGGACAACATCCAAAAGGCGCTACATAAATATTTGTTCGGAATATTTATAAACTATCAAAGACAATGTCTTATGTATGTTAAGAAATATTTTTCTTTTATATAAAAAAACGTAAATATATTCAGTCTTGCATTGCTCGTCTTTTTAATACTCCAGATGTAATGGATAAAGTTTTCATTCTATTTTTACATAGTCATGTAGAATTTTCAACTGAGTTTATAGTCTACATTTAAAGATTAATTTGATTATATATATTATAAAGCATCTGGTACGTTTAATATCACTTAATTTATATAAATTTTGCATTTCTCGATTTTTTTTATATATATTTACATCCCACATAGTCTACTATATGCAAATAATCATTATTTATTGAGTAGATTAACAAAGACGACAAGTTGCCGAAAATGCTATGTCCAGAATGCTTTTCACTTGTTACTTCGTTAGAAAATTTTCATGAACGAACTGAAAAGGTTCAGCAGTTGTTTAGTGCATTAAGCGATTCAACTGAAGACAGTATAATAGATGTTAATGCGCTTCGTTTAAAATTTGGTCTACTGGATGAAGAAAGAGTACACGTACTCATGCCGCATCCTTCGCCGGAAGTTCACTATTTTGAAACAAAACCGAGAATACTTGAATTGGAAGAAATATTGCTTGAAGGAGAAACAACAACAGTTGCTAAAACTGCTGCTGGAAGCGATATAATAGCAAACCCGTTGGAACAACAATCTCCTATAAGTATAAAAAAAGAAAAGACATCAGAAGAGTGCAAGACTGATCACGATGACGTTTTTGAGGACGAATATCCATTTAACGAGGCATATAACTGCGAACAAGCTGATGGCGAACGTGATGGACTGCAAGAGTTTGAGTTTGATAATATATTAACAAGTAAGCCGTGCAATAATTTAATCAATATAACTTCAAAAAATGAAACGAAACCGCCTACATCAATTGCGCAAGAAGAATCAAGTACAACAAAAGATTTTAACAAAGCTGACACAATTAACACGCGTCTTTGTCGTAAACGTAAGATCGCCAACGCACTGAACGATGATTCTAGTGGTTGCAGTAAAGAAAAAAGCACCTGCATAGATTCATCAATGAAATCTGAAACAAGTGAGGAGGACAAGGATGCATTTATTACTTGTAGCGAATGTCCGCGAAGATTCAAGCGCATTCAAAACTTTCGCCAGCATATGAAAAAAACACACCTAAAGGAAACACCCATTGAGCAACTTCCATGTACATTATGTCCGCGGGTATTTGCGACGGAGTATCAACTAAAGAGACATGCTAAAGTGCATCTGTCACTTAAGATGAAAAAGATATTTCCATGCTCATATTGTGAAAAATTATTTACAACTCCCACAATGGTTCAAGCACATGTAAAGAATATTCACCGAAATGAGCGACCATTTATTTGTGAAGAGTGTGGAGTACGTATAGCAACGAATACCGCCCTTAAAGACCATATGCTTACACATACTGATTATGCGCCTTTCAAATGTGATGTGTGTAAAAAGGGATTCAAAAGTAAAATCCGGCTGAAGGTAATTTATTTGAAATTAATGCATTTTCAAACAAAATAACTAAACAATCAACAAACAATCCTTTATTCTTTAGAATCACATGGAGATTCATGATCCGAATAAACATATTTGCGCCGAATGCGGTCTACAACTTAACTCTCGAGCAACACTAAATCGTCACTTGTTAGTGCATTCAGACAAAATGCAGCACAAATGTGATTATTGTGGACGAGCGTTCAAACGAGCCAAAGCGCTGAAAAATCACCTCATACTTCACACTGGTCTTAAGCCGTATTCCTGTGATTTTTGTGAACGAACATTTGCTAATGGTTCCAATTGCCGATCGCATAAGAAAAAAGCACACCCAGAAGAGTTAGCAGCACTGGAAGCATCAGGTGGAGGTAAAACGTACACCCGGAACATACCTAAATTGGAAGCATTAAAAGCAGTGTGAGTGAAACTGTCAGTTATTAATGTGTATTCCACTTTTATAGTGCAGTTTTAAATCCTTGCTAAAATTCTTTATTTTGTTCCCAACTGCTAATGAGAGGTACACTCATTTTTGTGTTACGTCAGACTTTCTATTTTTATATATTTTATGTTCCTATTTTCAACGCCATCAAGATTAGCAACTACAATTTAGTAAAGCTACACCAACCCAAAGACATATTAATTTTATATATACATAAAATTTAGATAGAATTTTTAACATAAATATAAGCATAGGAAGAATGACCTAGTAGTCCAGTTCCTTATTCTTGGTTAACTATAAAGTAAATTTTAATGTCAACTCACAAATAAATAAATATTAATTGTTGCTATCGTAGTTCTTGTAGTTTTCAAAAATTTTAATTTGCTTTTCACAAATTTATATATCCTTATTTTTTTATCAATCTAGTCAGCAGTTCGTGATAATAATAGCGAATGAGTAGTTTTACTTCCCCAATCATCGCCAGCGACGATCAAGTGCGACACTTTCGACACCTTCCAGAAGGACTTAATGAGCAGGTCCCAGCGGGTTACAACGACAACAACAAGCTAAACTTTGCTACTCAAAAACCATGCCTTCGTTAATGTGTTTGGTGTGGTGACCCGTGGAGTTCTATAGGGCAGAAAACATGAAAAGATTTACAAATACGTATACGTGCGTTAGGATATGGTTAGGTAAGGAAGTGTGTAAGAGATTGTTGGGAACAAAAGTGGTTTAAGGATTGTTGGAATTTTAATTGAAGTTAACCAGGGATGGGACATAGAAATCTAATCACTTCAGTGGGATAAAGCCTAAAGATCAATTAGACTCAAATTGATGCATGCATTGCGACAAGAAAATATTTTGTCGGCATCGTGGAAGGTTTAGTTTAGCACATAGCTCTACCCTGACCTCCATACAATGTTTTTGTCGATGTTTTCACATTCCTTATTTAATCTTTTTTAAGCCTCACCATTCTTGCCATTCCATTGCAATTTATTGCTATTTCCTGTCTCTAAATGTTCTTTCAAGTTATAACCATAAAAACATCAATAAGAAGCTAAGAAAATTAAAATAATTTATTTCATTTATTGTTAGAAACAAATATCAATAAAAACAACTTAAATAATTTTAGACTTATTTTTATTCTATTTTCAATATATCGACATTAATTATAAGCTAATAATTATATATCAAAACACCAATCAACATATTAAAATACATAATGGTCAAGTGAAAATCTTTACAAATACTTTTTGTCTCTATGTTGATGTTTTAAAATGAATTATTATTTTATTTTTTAGCACTAAAACTGCGGATAATCTTGCGCCTGTAGTTTCAAAGCAAAGTGGTTGCTTTGCATTTGGTAAAAAGCCAAAAGGAATACCAAAGAGTCCTGACGAAAAGTCTGCCCAAAATTTAGGTAAACAAAATTCCATCGGAATCGATCATTCAATCTTAACTGCAGATTCAGTATCCAATTCAATTTGTGCGCCATCAACACAACCTGATTTAAGTTCGCTTCAGACGGCTGTAATTAATGCTAATTTAGTGAGTGGCAGTAACAGCGCTATATGTCCGATTCCGATCGATAATTTATATAATCATATAATGAAACAAGCAACGATAACGGCACAAAATCTAAATTCAATTGAGGCAAAAGTTGAAAGTAATGACTCCAATGTTATGCCACGACATATCAAACGCCCATCAAGTGAAGCACCATCTACTTATGTGAATATTGAACACGATGCCTCTTCGGATCTATCAAGCTTACAACGGCAATCCCAGACGCAATCTCAATCTCAACCTCAACTTCCAACGCAACATCAACGACAACAACAACCACGCCAATTACATTTGCAACAAACACAGAACAATTCCATTGCTGTATCGGCGGCAGCCACAACTGCAGCACAGGAATTCTACAGTCAAATTGTAAAGCATCGTGAGCAGCAGCAGCAGCAGCAGCAAAACACACATTCACAACATCAGCAACATTTAATAGCTCAACAACAGCAGCGTGATGAGATTATTTCAATACGTAGTTCAGATAGTCAAGCATCACTTATGACCGCAGACGATCACTCAAATACCTCAGCGCACTTTTATAACCATGTCAGGCAGAATCAGCCCGAGCCATACATTTAAAAGTAAATTAGCCCACAACAATAACGAATGCACAACCAAAATAACTGGAAATCAGAAAGAATTTGGTAAGTTACGGCATTTGCAAGCATTTGTGTTCCAAGATGTGTATATAGTACGTTTGCTTAATACTTGTGTTGTATTAAAGTAGTAGGAAGTAGTTTGAAATCCTGCCTTTGAAATATAAACAAATAATTATTTAAATAAATGTTAAAATGACTTTTGTTTACTTGTGATATGTAAAACAAGTGTACAAATTGGCTGATCTGAACAGATAAGTTATGAAAATAAGATAAGATAATCTGAGTGTAAGAAAGCAGTGCCAATGTAAATGATCGCAATAATTATGGTTTCACCTCAAGGCTGCTGAGTATATTGTCTTGATAAAATGCAGTAAATTAATTAGGTATATCCTTATTATTGTATTATTATCCTAATAGAACTGGCTTTCTTTATAAAAAATGAACTGATCCAACGCACTATTGAATTGTCCCAAGAACACATCACCATACGAGAAGAGAGATTCGAGAGCCTGCCTGTGCAATTTAAAACTTAGTGAGAAGCATGTTCCAAAACTGTTTTATTTCAAGAAGTTTGCCATTACTAATTTTTTTATAAATTGTAAAAAAATCGCTGGCATAAAATAAATAAAGAAATAAAAAAAAATTCCTCTACAATTGCCTTTCATCCAACAGCTGTTCAGTTGATAACATAAACTGTCAAAATATAATTAAAATGTAAAAGGGAAATTTTTTTACTTCGAAATAACTTGTGTCTGCGCCATCTATGAGTGATTTGTCACCAACTGTCAAAATATCATTGTGCACATCAAAATCAAATGTCATTTGCCAAAAAGAAATATTTTGTGTCTAATATTACATATTAATATTAAGTGCATGCTCAAGTTGCTACAAAATATGGTTTTACTTTTGTTATATTAGGTCTGTTCCAAGGGCTACTCATAGTAACTTTGAGTGACACTGTGTATACACAAGTGCGTTCCACCAGCAAATTTTCGTATATTTTCGTGTAAATTTAACTTGTGTCTCAATTGAGTTTTACTACGAGTAGCTCGTGGAACAGACCTATTGTGTACTACGTTTAAATGACTTCGTATTTATTTTCTTAAAACATCAGATTTTATAACCACGATTCACGATGTTGATTTTCCAGATAAGTCCATTTAACAGATATAATTTGATTTGAATAAGTTTTTCTACACTGCGCTATCTATATGTCAGTATAATTTTATTGAGATCCAGCTTAAAAATTTGATGCATCTACTTGCTACTAGTTAGTGTGATAATTGTAAAAATAGCATTCGCTAGTTTTCGTTAGATGGCGCTTGTGACGTTGTGTTAACATAATCAATATAAACATTTTTATAATTTCAATATTCAAAAGTATATAAGTATGTGATTTAGCGAGTAAAGTTACTCAAATTGCTGACTCAACTATAAATCAAAGAAATATATAAATAACAAAAAATGGGATAATTTATTTTTATCAAAAATATTCAAAGCTACAGTGGTGGGTACGTTCAATGTAGTCTCCATACTTTATATTCCAAGTTAAGGCCGTGTGCGAGTTCTAGTAAATGGAGGTAAAGCAAATTGAAATTTCCTAGGGATCTTTTGCACCGAACTTATGTAAATATTTATTTATTTATTTATTTATTGCACTTATTTATTATTTTTGGTTAAAAGTTTTCAAATTTTTTAATTTATTTATTAAACATCTTTAGAAATGTTCATAATGGTAAAACCTAATTTACCTAATTTTTATCTAACCTACCCGAAATTCTGATAAGTACTAACATTCGCTGCCTTACCGACATAATTTAATATTTCCCTTAATTTACCATCAACTTACTCGAACTCGCATATGGCTTTAATTTCAAAACTGAAATAAAAGATTTGAACCGTGTGCGACTTAGAGTAAATTGGCTGAAATGATCGTTCTAAAGCTTTTGACAAGATCTGGCATGATGGCATGATAGTAAAAATGTCTCATATATGTGTTCCAGGCAGGGTAACTAAGATCATCGGCCGCTTCCTACGTGGGAGGTCCTTTCGCACGAAAATCAACAAAGTTCTCTCATCAGTTCGAACTATAGAAGCAGAGGTTCCTCAAGGATCGCCATTTCCCCCACTTTCGTCAACATTTATACATCTGATAAACCCAGGCTTTGTGAAAACTTTTTAAGGTGCCATGGTACATTAGGGCGAATGACATCTTCAGGGACCTCAAGATTAAGGTAAAAGGATACATAAAGGATAAAGCCTTGAAATTATTTACGAAAACTGACAGGTTTACCAACACCGCGTTATCGAATCTCAGAATGGTTATATACTCCTCGGGAAGGTATGCAGATCTGAGATCAGTTACTGCTTAGTCTGGTGAAGTGATAAACAATAATTTAGTCCAGGCGTAGAGAGGGGTTATGAAGAAATCTCGTAGCTAATAGAAAGTAAAAGTGCTTAGGTGCACTGACTCAACTAACCTCAACATAATAATAAATAAATTTGAAAACTTTTAACCAAAAAATAATAAATAAGTGCAATAAATACTCGAACTCGCACACGGCTTAAAAGATTTAAAAGAAAATTTAAATATATATTTAATATTTCATATTTATAATTTATATATATTTTTTATTTCAGTGCGAAATGTTTTACTGGACATGTTGGTCGTCTTCAGCGAGAAGATTATTTTGTAAATAATTAAAATTTTTTAAGAAGAAAAACGAATTTTGGTAAGTTATAGAAGTGAAATCTTTATAATGATTAATATGTGGAAAAAATATAATTTTTGTAAAAATATATTACGCCAAATAATCATAATAACGTGATATGCCTATGTCAATTGCGATTACTGAATAGAAAAATAGAGAGAGAGAGAAAGACGTCTCCCGTTTTTAATTTATTAAATCCCACTTTTTTTCTTAACTTTTAACACATAAAAAACCACAACATTATATACATATTATATACATATATATACATATTACATACATATTATATACATATATATACATATTACATACATATTATATACATATATATACATATTTAATACATATTATGTACATCCGCAACATTAGGGCACTATAGATATTATGGTCATTGATTGTTCGTCTGTAGTTTGGTGCATATGGTCATTTAATGTCATTTTCAATATCATTAAGACAAGCTTTTCGAGGTCCTCCTTTCGATCTACCACAAAGCACGCCAAAAATTTCCCGTGACGGTTTTTTTTTTTTGATGATCACATTCCTGTTCTTCCAATTCTTTCTAAGCAATTTATCCGTAACTTTATTTCTTTGTATTTCTCGATGTTCTGAAACTCAGAGAATTGCCTACTATTTACTTTCTGACCTCAGCTGAATTTTGCATTGCGTCGCAAGCATTATTTTTCTTTTAATTAAAAATTTAAGTACTTGTCGGTGAAACGCATTACCTGTATTTTCCTTTAAAAGATCTATCAAACGATAGCATGTTAAAACTTGCTAATATTTCGTTTATAACTTTTGTTTCCTATATTATACTTTGTTAATGTTGATGTTGATCCTTTTTTTGAGTCAGCGCAACTGATGGCACTTTTACTCTTTGATAGCTGGGGGTACTACAGGGTGCCACCCATCTCATTGACTAACTTATGTATTCCCTATAAGCTTCATGATTATCCAGTAATTGATCTACGATCTGCGTATCTCCCCGTGCGGAGAGTGATTACTCTAAGATTAGATAGTGGTAAGTAGGATAGCCTGTCAATTTTCGCATATAACTTTAGGGCTCTGTTCCTTATGTATTTTTGATCAATCTTGAGATAATTAAAGCAATTTCATCACTAGAACAAAGCGCGATGTCTCCATTAGGCTCTTAAGCCAAGATATTGTGAGCCTCCTCGGTGATATGTTCTTCCTCTTCAGAGTCATAATCATAGTCTTCGTTTGGCTGGAATTGAGGCTCTATAGAGTCAGCAAAGGCCTCGGCCTTTTCTGAATCTGTGTATGCTGTGCCAGTTGCCCTATGAATAGGCGGCACTGCCTATTTGCGTTTCAACCTGAAGTATTTGTTTATGGCCCAGAAGGATTTAGTACCGGTTTCTGGTCTCAATAGGAATTCGCCCCAGTTTTCATTTCTGAAGATGCCAATCTTTCTTCTAATTTCCTTAGACAGTCGGCTGGCTTCTGTTCTACTTCCCGGGTCTCCAGTAATCTGGGCAAATTTTTTAATCTGGGACTCTATTACGGTGCCTGATCATGTATTTTATATGTTGAGGAAGGTTGAAGTAGTTGCTGGGTTTTCTATTTTTGATAGTAGAGCTGGAATCTAAAGCCTTCTTAATTTGATACGTAAGGTTTCGAATACTTTCCTCCAGGTCCATTAAGGTTTCAGGTTAGTTTAACCCTCCTCCAATATCTACTAGATTTTTAAAGGCGGCCCAGTCAGTTGTAATGAACGTGGGAGTCGTAATATTAATGAGGCAGTTCTCTAAAATAAATAATACTGGTTTATAGTCCGAGTCCAGCTCGTCTAAGACTTCAATAAGCGCAATAAAGTCTAGGTTATTAGATATGGCATGATCTATAATGTGGCCGACTCCTCTACCATAGTATGTTGGCTCGTTAGGCACGTGTAGCTGCAATAAGTGGTCAATGGTGAATTGGGCGATCACCTACCTGCACTATTTGTGCTACTGTCACCCCAGTTTCTGTGAAACGCATTCAAGTCACCGGCCAGAAAAAAGATGGAATTGTTATTAAATTGCGCTTCAAGGTCTCCTAGGTAGACTTGTATATTCGGTGGCCTATAGACTGAGGTAAAGTTTGACCTATCATGACCTATATAACACGTGGCGTAAGATTCATATTAACGATCCCACTTCTAACATCATATTTGTATTTCTAGTTTTATTATTATTAGTAGTAGTAGTAGTAGTAGTAGTAGTAGTAGTAGTAGTAGTAGTAGTAGTAGTAGTAGTAGTAGTAGTAGTAGTAGTATTTTTTTATTTTAGTTCAAAAACAGTATAATATTTCAATCTTAAAACTAATTTTACACGTTGATTTATGTTATTAATCAATAAATTACAAAATATTTACACAATAAAATATTGTTACTTATTGAACTAAAGGCATGGCCCAAATGCCGTCTGCCAACAAACTAATTAACTAATAATGAAGTCTTCTAAAGCTAATCAAAATATATTTTGCAGTATATTAAAGTAGAATTGTAAATATTTTTATTGTTCTTTTTCTATTTTATTTAAAACTAAAAATTTTCATTTATTATTCTATGCCTGTAATTAATTGCATCTTTAACATAGCCAGAGAGTGCGGTCCAGTTTTCCCCGTTTAATGCCTCTATTATTTCCTCCTCTGTAAGAGTGTGCTTCCTATAGAATTTGTAGTGCATTTCTTTCAGCATTGGACGTAACCCAATAAAGTGTACTATATCCTCTGGCTGGTCTAAATTACACAATAAACAATATGTTGAATTTACTTGCACATATGATCTATAAGGAACTTAAGGAGTTCGCCCAGAGTTTTAAAAATCTGGCTGATAGTTCCAATAGTATAATCATCCTTAAAATAATCGCGTAATTTGCCATTGCTGCCAATGTAAAGTTAGCTCTTTCATT